TAACTTTATTGATTGGACTAGTGAAAATCAAAAAATTGATGAAATTATAAAAGAAACGCAGATGAATTCAAAAACTGCAATTGATTTCGTGGAGTGGATCCCATATGAACAGTTTGAAAAAATAGAAAAGATCTGTCAAGGTGGATTCAGAACTATTTATAGCGCATTTTGGATACAAGGTCCGCTTTCCATGCTTGCAAATGAATTCAAGCAAACTGGAAAAATTCAAGTTGCATTAAAGAGTGGTATTTCTCCAGAACATTTGGAGGAGGTAGTTATGTTTTTTTTAGATTAAGAATTATTATTTGCTTATTTGTATATTAATATTTGTATTTTAGCTTCGTATATACATAAAATGCTTTACAAATTCAAATTCTAATATAACTAGAAATATATACAATATAAAATTACCAATACTTCATTGCTATGGTCTTACTAAACGTTCTATATCTGAGAGTAATGAGGAATATATGCTTGTAATACAATTTGCAGAAGATGGTGATTTGCTAAAATATTTATCAAAGAGTTTTAATCAAATAAAATAGTATGAAGATAAATTGCCAATTCTTGCTAATATTGCTAATAGCTTTAAAATTATTCATCAAGAAGGTTTAATTCATCGCGATCTTCATGGTGGAAACATTTTGATTGATAATGATGCATTTTATATTTTTGACTTTGGACTATCTTATCCTTATGGATATAAGGATTCTGCTACAAACAAGTTAATTGGTGTAGTTCCATTTATTGCATCAGAAATTTTTGCAAGAAAGCTATTTACTTTTAAATCAGATGTATATAGTTTTGGAATAATAATGTGGATGTTTTCTTCTGGGATTTTACCATTTCATACTCGTAAATATGATAAAAACTTGGCACTAGATATATACAATAGAACCCGACCTCAAATAATAGATGGAACTTCATCATGCTTTATCGATCTGATGCAAAGATGTTGAGATTCAGAACCTGAAAAAAGACCAACTTCATCTAAAATTTATAATATAATTTGTTCATGGTATTATTTAAAAAATTATAAAAAATTTAACGCTTTTGACAAAATCTTACTAGTACAACATAAACAAGATATTGAACTTCCAGTTATATCAAATATTCCTAATTATTTACAAAATGATTCATATCATAGTTGTAGAATATATTTAAAATTAATAACAACTGCTAGTAGATTTCAAGATATCAACTTTATTATTATTTATTTATTTAGAAACCTTGCTTCCTATATTAACTCTAATACTATTAATTTTCAGATACTGATCAATTAAACTTGGTAATAAATGACTTATAGAAAAAATTGTTAACTAACAAAATTATTTACAAATTCTTAGCAAACTCTTTAAATATTAGTTTTAAACTTATTAGTTCTTAATATACAGTAATAAAATATATTACATTAATATAAATATTTACCATAAAAAGCTGCTTTGGAAACAATATAACTTTCATATCAGAATAAATGTTAGAATTTCAAACTAAATATTAAATTATGATTTCGTATTAAATAAAAACAATAATACATTCTTATTATAGAATATGTTTAACATCTTCGGTCAATAAGAATCAACTATAAATTTACTGGTTATTGGTCAAAGGGTTTCTGGTCAAACTGGTCAAATTTTTTCTAAGTAAATTTTTTTGAAACTTTAATCAACAATAACTTAACAAAAACTTTATCAAATTAATAAAAATTTTTTTAAAATAAATATTACAAATTGTAGAATTCATTTAAAAAATTTTTTATTAAATTTAATAAAGCTTTTGTTGAGTTATTGTTGTTTAAAGTTTCAATAAAAACAATTTGCTTGATTTTTATTGACTCACCCCTATTTATATTTTTACTTTATCGCATATAAATTACATGTGTAAGGGATTTTTTAATATAAGGAAATACACCATGGCAATGATTGCGAAAAGAGTTAAATCAAAATCATCGTTTCATCTCATACTTTCACCAAAGAATATATTATGTTGGTTTAAAGAGGCCATGTATCAGACATTTTTAAAAAACATTGCTATTAAATGTTATGAAAATGCAGAAAAAGAAGTAAACAATTTTAAGACTAAACAGGTATATTAATAATTAGATAAATATCATATTATAAGCCTCGGGCAACCAGATCTTATAATTAATTCTTTACCATTTGTTGAGTTGAAGTTTCAGACAACAAAGCTTTGTTATTACTATTTAGATTGATTAAGTTTTGGGCAACCGAACTTTATCATTTCCACTCATTGAATTAAAGTTTCGGGCAACCGGGCATTACATTATTATTTCTCTTCCTTATCAAATACTATTAAAGTTTCGGGCAACCAGATTTAATAGTTATCGTACTCATTACTATACCTTTTCCTTACTACAGTACTATATATTCCAAATGATTGATTAATTTAAAATTTTTGATCAATAGAACTTTCTACTTTATTTTATTTATTTATTTTAAATAAAACTATATGCAATGAGGATAGAAATTTTTATTAAAATTTAAATTAATTATTATAAAGAACTAATTCTGTTTGTATTTTATCTCAGGCAGAAAGTAAGCACTTTGGTTTCTGATATCTGGTTGGGAAATAGAACCTCAAAAGATAGCAAAAGATAAATTTGCTTCATCACCAATTAATATAAGAAAAAAGAATTCAAGATTCAGAGAATCGTTTATGATTTGCGAAATATGTCAAGATATTAAATTTTTAAGTATTTGGAATTATTTTAACACTCATTCACTTAACTACAATATATTAGACCAGTTTAAAACCAAATAATGAGCTTAATAAATTTATTAAAGCCATTATAAGTTCTGATTTGGAACAGTTGCCTGAAAATAAACTGCTCTGAAGTTGGCATATCAATACCGATACTATCCCACCCATTGTGTTTGATCATTTTTATCTAAGTTCAAACAACTTCGTATAATTAATTGTAAATATAGATTTATTCTTCCTGATAATGCTAAATTTGGTTTGAACTTAGTTGAGAGTCTCTTATGAATGATTTAATATTACCGAATCTAAACAAACTAAAGTATAATAGAGAAGATGAAATATTTTTTTTTACAAATGTTATATAGTATATGAGTATTTAATTTTGGATGTTTTTATTAGACGCAATTCTGATAAAAAATTTATTTTAGTCGAAATATATTCTTAAAATACAAAGATATTACTATAACGGAAGTTTCTGAGGAAACTTGGTTGACAGATACAATTCATCAATTTTTAGAATCTGCTGTGCATGATATTCCTGGGCTGTCTGTTCACTCGTAAGCTAGAAAAATTAATTTAGCATATAATGAAGAAATTTTGACCATCTAACGCTAATACTTTCATATTTTAGCACATGTGCTACTCTTTTGAGGCACCTCAGAAATGAAGAAAATCGTAAACCAGACAGAACTGTAAGATTAAAACTTGAAGACAATCAGAACTATAAGATTAAAACTTGAAGACAATCAGAACTATAAGATTAAAACTTGAAGACAATCAGTTCAAAATTCTATACGTAGAAGTTGCAAACCCAGAATTAAAAGGAAGAAAGTGTCAAGAAGATGCAGAAAAACTCCAGCAGCTTATAAAACTAAATCTTGATGAACTTTTAAGAAACTTTCAACATATATATAGAAATAAAGACATTGCAAAAAAAATTTATGATAATCCCCTTATTACAATTCAATTTACTCGTAGATATTATTTTTTAAGTTTATTCTCCAATTAATTTTTTTATAATTTAGAATTTTACTCATCAAAATAAATATTTTTAGAAACATCATTAATTTCAACAATTAGTGACAGGAAAGCTTACCCATTGATATGCACTACCACTTTCCATAATATTAAAATACTATTTCTAACTAAAGATCATGTTCTACAATTGTCAAGAGGATTGAAATTAATTTCAATGATGTGAGAAATTCGAAATGTGTTAAAAATTATTTCTAATAATTGGAGAAATATTTTAGACAGCATGGAAGAAATAACAATAATACTAGCAGAAGAACGAGTAAAAATTGATGAAAATATTCCTCAATTTAGAAACTTCATTTCCAGGCAATATCAACCAACACAATACTCTTATAATTAAATAAACAAAATTTATTTTTTAAATTTATTAGATGTTTTATTAATATGTCTCAATAGAATTAAAAAATGGCTATTACAGTATTTAGTGTTAATTATGTTATACAGTACAATTATATAATTAAATTGTTGTATTACTATCTTGTTACATGAGATGGTTGTGCAAGATGTTGAATTATATTTTATTTGAAATAGTTTTTAAATGAGATATTGTTTTGTCTAAATATAGTGAAGTAATTGGTGCAATGTTTCTCATGTCTTCCAAACACATTTCACAAGTTATATCGTTAAATGATCTTTGTTATACAACTAATTGTATATGAGGTTATGTGTTTCTTTTATCTGAAGGGTATCAACTTTAATTGTTTAGTTGGATAATGCATGAAAGATATGAAATAACTTATCCAAATAGTTCAAAAATGCTTTAAATTAAAATTCATAGAACCATTCGTTGTAGAATTTTCTAGAATTTTATACTCTTAATTTTATCATCAGGTGGGCTAGGTGCTGAAAAAAGACAATTTTTTCAAATGAAATTTTTTTACATAAATTAATTTAAAATAATAATAAGAATAGCGAATAGCAATAGGATCATTTTTCTTTAAGGCACAAAAGTAGCTGATCAGTATTATACTTAATAAATGATCTAATCTGATCCAATCAGCTATATTGGCAAATTTATCTAATAGATTTGAGTTAGTAGAAATCAAGCAACTTCAGTATTATCGTTATCGATAATAAATTTGTTGAAACTAATAATATTACATGATTTTACAGACCTAGGTGGGTCTATGAGATTAAATGTAGAGATAAGATCTAGATTACAATTAACGGTAAATTAAATTTCAGTTTATTCTCCGACAGCAGCTAGAGGCTATCGGAAAATAAACTCACAAAATTTACTATCAATCAAATTGTTTATACGTAAATAGTTTTTTATTTCATCCAGGCTAGAGTTGGAAAATTACTATAATTTTATATGGCAAAAAGAGAGAAATTTATCATTTTTGTTCATAAGATTCATTGACAATTATTTGCATTTTCTTTAAAAGAAAAGTTAATTAAAAAAAAAAAAAAAAAAATCAATACAAGGCCTATTTACTATAAACAGTATGCGTAATTTAAACCAGATCGGTCACATAAATTTGTGCTATACTATGTTTCACTATTATGTGAATTTGGATAATTTTTTCGTCTCCAGAGATGTTACCTATTCTATATTTAATTCTTTATCTTACATTTTTAAAAAAAAATTATACAGATTTAGATTGTAAATTTCTAATATTGTAGTCTTAAAAAAAAATAAATTAAACTAAAAAAATAAAATGCTAAGTTAATGGTTTTGACAAATCAAGTGTAATTTTATAATTAAAGTACTAATGGTTTATTATTCAGCTGCAAATTAATATTTATAAAAGAAATAATATAATATTCACCATAGATGATAATCACCTGTAATTTACAATACATAAAAAAAACAAAAATTAAATTCTTTCTTTACTATTAGGGTTAGAATAAAGATTAGAAATTGGAATATAGGTTAGTTTATAGTAAAATTTTGCAAGAAATTTTTTTTATTAGAACTCAAAAAGTAGTTTCTTAGACAAAATTTTGAGATATAGATGGTTTTTTAAAAAATTCTTTGT